ACACACGTGAATTACAATTAATTGACGAAGTTGTTAGGTATTTTGTAATTCATTGTCATAATGCGAAAAAGAAAATAAGTATGGGTATTATAACAGGTATACACCTACAAAAAATCCTATGAAACTAATAACTTATTTTTCAAAATTATTAAAGTTTCATGTTTTTGTCTTCAATAAAAATATGCGAAAACATAACAAATATTGTTATTTTAATTATGGAATGACCCTTAGTCATTAATTTGTAGTGAGTTTATCTTACAATTTTTTTTAACAATAACCGTTGATTAAAAGGAAAAATTGTCTTGCGTGGATGCGCGTGTACTTTATTTCTATGGCAGATATTTTTAGGAAAACGATTCGAAAATTAATGAATTCACAATAACTAATGTCTAGTTAACTTAACAGTAAACTAGACAACACATGTCCAGGTAAACTGCAAAAAGTGATGCATTTTATAATACAAAGACAACAGTGGCTTTTGCCAACAAAGATGGCGGGTTGTCGTGTACGCCCCATGTTAACTCTCGTCAATCCGCCACCTCGCATGTAAGCACAGAAAAGCGACAACGTGCCACCACGTCAACCTGCCATCACTATTTTATAAGGTGGCGGGTTGTCGTGTACGCTCAATGTTCAATGTCGTCAACCCGCCACCTCGCACGTAGACGTCAACCAGCCACCACGTCAACCCGCCACCACACTAAAGAGGTGGCTGGTTGACGTGTATAAACACGTCTAAGCACCACCAGGACAACGTGCCACCACGGCAACCCGCCACCACACATTTTTCCGAGGTGGCGGGTTATCGTGCACGGTAGAGTCAACGTGCCACCCTGACAACGAGCCACCACGTCAACCCGCCACCTTAAACTTCTTCTTCTTTTTGATGGCGGGTTGACTTGGTGGCGGGTTGACGTGGTGGCGCCTTGGCGCGTTCCCAGAACGGCGAGTGTCTCATTCTCCTGATCTCCTGTCTCCTCTCCTCTGTCCTCAGTCGTTCAGTCCTCACCCTCAACTCACCTCACTGCAGCACTGCACTACCTCACTCATCACTCACACACACGAGACCTTGCCGTCAGACCGTCACCGCCCACCTTCGTCTGTCTAGAAACGGGACAGCGGAATTGAAATCCGAACTGAACATCTGATCGCGGGTTTCTGTCATCACCGAGCCTGTTTTAAATTACGCGGGAACAAAGTACAGTAGCCGTTTAATGTTAAATATAAGTCTAAATATGTTAATTGAAAATTATTTCTTGAATGATTATAAAAAATTACAAATACTATATAAGTCCAAATAAAGATGAATTACATAAAAATCCTAACTATTATTAATTGTTGTTTACACTGTTTAAATAACAAAAGTATAGAAAGAAAAAGTTTAATTCCATGTCGTTCTAAATTATAGCTAACGTAGGCCTATTTTCAGCTGTGAACATTTTAAAACTAGTAACATACCTCGTGTTAAAATTCCTGGTCTTCAAAATATATTTTTCTTAAAATGTAACAATTTAACACATATATTGATACACACTCACACACACAAATAATATTTACATTTATTTACAACATATTTTCTTCATCTTGGAAACTGTAACAACAAAATGAACACAAAAATTTGGCTATTTTAAATGAGAAATATCTTATTGTGAATTTTCTATAGGCCTACTTGTTTATTTTGTTTGTTTGTCAGTGTCACAAGTTACTCAGCATGGGTCTACGTTTATGTTTGTAGGTACCAGTATCTCTGTGAAAATATCTGGGATGTCAGTGTGTGTGTTCAAGTTCAAAAACTTATATTTCAGTAAAAGATTTCCCTAGCATACCACTGGGCCGAGTGAATACAAGTACAGCAAGTATATACTTGTGAGTAAATACTTGCGAGTATTCGTCGTTCAAGTAATCTCTTGTGAATAAAAGCGACTCTTTACTTGCAAGTAAATACTTCCTAAATGAGATGGTATACTCACTGATCTATCGGAGATGAGGGTATACTTGCAAGTATGTACTCCATTTTAAAGTAAACATTATACAGTACAAGTATATATATATATATATTAAATAAATAAATATAGATAAATATATATATATTGTTGAAGGTCTAAGGCCTTCATTTAAACATGTAAAATGTGAAGGTTTTGCATTATTGAGACTTGTGGATGGATTTTCATTAACAAAATAGCTTGAACATAACGAAGGAATACCACAAAGGTTCCATCTTCAATTACCCAAGCATTATTTTGCGGAAATTACTAGAGTCACACATAATTTAAATATAAGTGTATTACACTATACTGAATGTGTTACATGCATTTATCAACAAGTAAATTTAAACAAGCATGGGTTATTGATAACTAGTTGAAAAACAAGTATTTACTCTTTAGGCAAGTATTTGCTGGTGGTTATTCACACCAAATGTATAGGTTTATGAGGGTATACTTCCTTGGAAAGGCTTTTTTAGAAGTACAAGTAAATACTCATGCTTATTCACTTCTGTTCAAGTAAATACTCAAATTATGAAAATTCAAGGCAAGTAAAAAAATGCGAAGAACAAGAACTTTAACTTAGAAAATAAGAATGTGTCAGCTGTTACAATTTCATTTAATTTATAATTGATGGTTGATTATTACCTAATGATTACAAATTATTAAATATATTTTTTTTGCAAAGTTTTATTTACAATCTGTTTTAAATTAAACGATAAGTAAATATGATGACATTTATATAAATTAAATTAAAATTTGGGGAAAAATTATTAAAATGTATTATCTATACTAATAAATAAAAATGAGATGGTGTGTGTTTGTGTGTCTGTCTACTACTCAATAACGCAAAAACTACTGAACCGACTGGGCTCAAATTGCACACACATGAAGCTACAGTTCCGAGGATACATATAGAACTATTCCCGCTTCGATATTGTCCTAGGGCTCTGCCCAGTGGGCTTTAAAAAATTTGAGGTGAGAGATTTAAAAGTAAATATTGATTGATGGTATATCCATGGTAACAAAGAACAAACCTACAAAGTTTAAAAATATAAACAAGCAGAACTAACTGTCAAATGATTTTTTTTTTTTTAACAAGTATTTATTCACAATCTATTCTATACTAGAATAATAAGTAAATTTGATAACCATTTTAACATGGGTTAGTTACACTCCATCAAGTGCACTAACATACAAAAACTTTTAAAAAGTTCAACTAAAGACGATTTGGAAGGTCTATTGGATTAACTCTTTTGAGCCTATATGTAGCTTCACTATTGTCGAGGAGGTTAACTGCCAGGAAATTTGGATGGGTTTCTAATTTTCTTTGGTATTTTTCACTTCGTTTCTTTATTTCTTCTTTAACATAGGGTAATTTTGTATCTTGATGAATTACTTTATTTGTGACAAACCAAGGTGCTTGTAAAATTTTTCTCAGTGTTTTCGATTGAAACCTTTGAACTATTTCTATGTTTGAGTTGGAAGTGGTTCCCCAGAGTTGGATACCGTAGGTCCAAATAGGTTTCAATATAATTTTGTATAAAAGTAATTTATTTTCAACAGATAATTTTGAATTTCGACCAATGAGCCAATTTAGTTTGTTTGTTTTTAAATTTAAATGAAGTCGTTTGTTCCAAATGTGTGAATGCCATGTAAGCCGTCTGTCGAGGTCAAATGAGTTTTGATTTCACAATTCCACTCCACACAGCTGGTTCAAACATATTAAATACTGCACGAATATTAAAACAGAGAGGGTAAGGATTATAAATTTAAAATAATGATGTCACTAGCAGTGACGTAGCCAGGGAGGGGGTCCTGGGGGTCTGGACCCCCCCCTTCCGGTCTTAAATATAATATTTTTTTGTTAAATTGAATGTAAAATTATATACCGGTAATCATATGTCATTGATGTTGGGGTTGATTATTTTCAATGCCAAGAGAGCTAAAAAAGACCGTTTTAGGGCCTATATTTTTTCCCGGATCCCCCTTTTTTACCTGGGGCCCCGGTCGGTCGACCCCCCCTATTTCGAAATCCTGGCTACGTCACTGTCACTAGCCCGAATGTAAACATTATTTAACATTACTTAAATGGAGCTGTCAAACAATATGTTAATATAATTTCATCAGTTACACCATTTGTTTATGTTTATGATCTATTATACTGAGTCTGTTCTAATATATGCTGTAATAATATTTTACAGGCAATAATTCGTTGTAAAAGAAATCATTCATGGATATAGGAAATAATTAAGATTCTATAATCATTGCCAAGCCATTATCCTGAGTTTTATGAGGTTTATTTTTATTTTTGTGTAAACAGCAATATAATCCCCCTTCCGCAGCAAATTTATAGACTTAGTGAATTTCCATTTACCTGATTATAATTTCGATAAAATATGTTAAAAAAATTACCATATTCTTCATATTTATTTCAATTTTCCTATTTGTTTCTATTTTTCGGTTTGTAACTGATGTTGTGATAGTTTTTTTGTTTACAGTGCAAACCATTTAACACGTTCTTTTATTGTACCTTAAAATCTATCATTGGTTTTGTATCGTAGGTAGCCTAAATAAGTACTCACAGTATGAGTACTTTATTTTTTACTTATACTTATACTTTTCCCCCTCAATGAATTCGTGTATTTCACGAAGGTGTCGAGACAAAACCCACCGATTAACAAAACTCTTATCACAAAACTGAGCACTGGCATACATGCATTGTTGACAAGACAAGCCAAAACGATTAAGTTAGTACACCACGCGACCACGCGACAGACAGCATTGAATTTGACGTTTAAGTTTAAGTTCGGCACTGCTCGGTAAGATTCGGAAGCGTTCGGCACAGCGCAGTAGTGGGGGAAGCGTTGTTCCGATTTCAAATTCCGCTGTCCCGTTTCTAGACAGACGAAAAAAGGGCGGTGACAGTCTGATGGCAAGGTCTCCCCTCACACGCTCACTCACTCAGTCAGTCAGTTCAGTGTTCACTGTTCAGTCAGTCAGTCTCAGTCAAGAGTCAGACACTAGACACAGTCAGTCTCTCTTGTTTGCGGCTAGCTGGTTATTACATCATCCTAGTTAACTCTTGAATTCTTTAAGATTTATTTAAGTGAACTTAAGTTTAGTATAAGCAATCTATTACCATGTTGGCGCGATTGGCTGGACGTAATATTCTGGAAAAATCTGCATTTACCTATGACATTGGCCACAGAAATTATTTTAGCACGCTTCTTAAGAAGGTAAGACATGTGTTAAGCATTAGGCCTAGGCTACTTGGTAATAAAAAAATGCGCTTTTCTAGGCCTATCTATCTACCTGTTACATTTTGTCTGCTAAACATTTATTTACTAATTTGGCTGAGGTCGCGTGTACTTATAATTCCTGCTCAAAATGCTTAGGTTAGGTAGTAGGCCTTTAGGTATAGGCCTAAGTTAGTCTAGGGCCTAGGCTATCTCAGTTTAACCTAGACATAGACCTAGCCATTTATTCCTCTATTGTAATCATAGCCTATTTTTTTTAAATTCCCTGCATGGGTACACTTCCATATCTGTTGGCACAAACAACCGAATGAGATTGGGGTGAACCTGGCAAAAACTCAGCAATAAGAAGTGTGCGCGGGCCTTATAAAATCTGTTGCTGGCCGTTTAGCGGAAAAATCTGGCCGCGTACCATATTACCGATAATGTCAGCAGATAGAGGACACTTTAACGGACACGACAGTATCAATATCATGTAGGTACCGGTACCTGTTGGGGCAAAGTCAGTTATAACTGATCTTAACCCTCCCAAGTGTCCATAGTAATAGTTTTAATGTTGGCCCATTTATTGCGCAATCGCATGGTTTTATTAAAATGTATCTTAGAAACTTTAAAAAGTATAACTGTTTTCAGTGTTGGGAAGTAGCGCGCTACAAGTAGCGACGCTACAGTAGCGAGCTACTTTTTTTGTGGCGTTAGCTGTAGCTACGCTACTTTTAAGATTTTGTAGCTTTAGCTGTAGCTAGCTACATTTTTTAAGTAGTTGTAGCGGAATTTTAGCTACTTTTCTCGCTACATTAACATTGTTTGAGATAGTGATTTTTATCATAACCTCAACCTTACGTTGAGATGTTCCAAAATTATCCTCATTGTTTACTTTTAAATTTATTATATTGAAACCTATTTGGACCTACGGTATCCAACTCTGGGGAACCACTTCCAACTCAAACATAGAAATAGTTCAAAGGTTTCAATCGAAAACACTGAGAAAAATTTTACAAGCACCTTGGTTTGTCACAAATAAAGTAATTCATCAAGATACAAAATTACCCTATGTTAAAGAAGAAATAAAGAAACGAAGTGAAAAATACCAAAGAAAATTAGAAACCCATCCAAATTTCCTGGCAGTTAACCTCCTCGACAATAGTGAAGCTACATATAGGCTCAAAAGAGTTAATCCAATAGACCTTCCAAATCGTCTTTAGTTGAACTTTTTAAAAGTTTTTGTATGTTAGTGCACTTGATGGAGTGTAACTAACCCAATAACTAACCCATGTTAAAATGGTTATCAAATTTACTTATTATTCTAGTATAGAATAGATTGTGAATAAATACTTGTTAAAAAAAAAAAAAAAAAAAGAATGTTAATAAACCATGTGTTATGTATCCAAATACCTAGGCCTACTATTAGCTAGGCCTATTAAATTAATACCTCTAAATTATCACATGTGTTTACATACAGTAGAAGGGCAAAGGGTCCACCTATTGTAAATTTCCATATTTCACATTCTCATCAAACACTGTCATTTATTTAATAAGCTAAATTTATAATCACTGGAAGTTATTTACGGTATACAGTTCGAATTATTTTACAAAATTATTCTTCTCTTTCACTTTCAAAAATGTAATTAAAATACTCTTCATATAATACCAACCAATCATAAAAGTAACAGTGAATAGTGACATCAAGAAACCAGTGAACTAATTGTTGAAACAGATGTATGAAATTGAACATCAAGAATCAAGATTTTTTCAATTGAGAATTAAGTAATGAAGAAGCAAGACAGGAAGATGATTTAAAAATTTTAATTGGTGATTTAACTTTACAGTATTTAAAATATCAAGATTTTTCTCAATTATTTAATAGGATACATATATCATTTCTACCTCAAGAAATATATTTGTGGAGAAGACTACTATAAACTTTTGGGTGAGATCAAACTGAACCTGTACTTTGCTAAATACTCACATTCCAAAATTTCTATTGACTTTTGCCGTTTTGAACTTTAACCTAAATTATCATTTTACTAAATTCAAAATTTGAACTTTCTTCTTTTCAAAAGTGTAAATTGAACTGTACATAACTTGTGATGAACATTAGGCTTATGCCTATCCAACATCACATAAGCCTATAAGCCGGCACATTCCTAGAACCCTGAGATTAAGAGTTTCATCTAAATATAGGTATAACCCTACTTATTTGTACAATTTGACTAATAAAAGGTTTATGTATTCATCATTGTAAACCCTGGACATTTATTATTTATTTACCAAATAAAGATTAAAGAACTTTACAACGTGAAACAACCTCTTTCAAACTGAGATTTTCAAAAAATTGGGCCTACTTTCTTGGCTTCATACAGCTGGTTGCAGCCGTTTCATTCCCTATTACAACGTTGTGTGGACATGGAGGCCATTAAATGAGTGTTATCCACATTTTTGGCTCTCATTTCCTTAATTTACTTACTCTATGATTACTGTCAGATAAAATACAATCGCTAGATGCAGACGATGTTTAAACGTTACTGGTGACAAGAGAAGCTATTGAATGCTTGCAAGTGATTGACAGGGAAATTAGTAATCAATTTAGTTTCTTTATTATATCGATAGTGTTTCAACTTGGGTTTTAATGGAAACCAACACTAAACCTGGAGAAAGCTGGTCTATCAACCTTTGCTTCAGCTGTTGATTGTGGTTCATCATCACAAGCCCTTCCTTGGTTAGATTACGAATATTTTTCAAAGGTTTACTAAATTAACAAAGAGCAAATTGACTTTATGAGATTTAAGATATGCCTGGACTACATGATAATTGTAACAAAAAAAAAATCTCCATATAACATGAAACTTGGGAACATTGAAAAAATAGCATAGTTTGCTCCTGCTAACAGCTCTTGTATAGGACTATTCCTAGGCTATGCTATGGTGTATTAGGAATATATATCTGTTTAGTCCTTGCAAGAACAAGCCTACTATAGCCAACTTGTTACATAGCAAAGTAGGCCTACATGTTATTTTTACTTTACAAATTTCAACATGTTTAAATTAAAAGACGATTTCAGGATAAGTTGCTGAATACTGTTTTCTGTACCAACTAGGTTGAAGCACAATTTGCCCTATGCATAATGACAATAAAGGACGATTTCTTGACATTGAAAAGTGTTATTCATAGAACAAGTAACTTATCACTATGGTTAAAAGCTATAGCAATGTAGTTTTTAACATTAAAAGAAAAGAAAGGCAATAAACTCCAATTTCAGTAGGCTATAGGCTCTGCAACACAAAAAAGTATTTTTAAATAATCGTTTTACAGTTTTATTGGTCTTAATTGTTGATATAAGACATCTATAAATGAATCTATATTAAAGAAATAAAATGAGCTTTAAAAATATTGTTTGGGTGTATGTCCTTTGAACTTAATGAAATTTACATACTATAAGATGCTTAAAAATAATGCAATATTTAAAAATAAGTACTAAATATGATGGGAGACCCAACTATTTGGTTCTGTTGTTGTAATGTTAGGTTTATAATGCCAACAAATTAAATACAATCTAGGAATAATTTGTTTTCCAAGTAATGTTAGATACAATACTGACATTTTTTATTTAAATGTTTGTTTAATAAAAATGTAGTTGCAATTAATTTTACATTTACCTAATGTGCGTGGAATAAAAAGTAACGTCTTTGAAAAAGTAGCTAAAATTGTAGCTGTAGTTACATTTCATTGTAGCTGAGTTGTACTTGCTACTTTTTCGGAACTGTAGCTGTAGCTAAGCTACTTTTTTGGAAATGTAGAAGTAGTTGTAGTTAGCTACATTTAGAAGTAGCTTCCCCAACACTGACTGTTTTATATATCATTTTGTTTGGAAAATTATGGGCTTCAATTTAATGGTAGGCTATAACACATTTAATAAATTGTCAAAAATTTTTGTGGGGTTAACATTTCTCAAAAATTATAAAATAAATGAAAAAATATTAATGTTTGCGCTCAATAAGTTAAATTTTTATTAATTATAAGTCTACAAAAATTTAAAATAGCCACCTTGTTCTAAATTTTATGAGGATTCCAAAAATATAACTTATAGTATAAGGAAGTAAATTTGCAAATAAATAAGGTATAGGTGAAAAACAGATTTCGTACATTTTGCGTAAGCTAAGAATGCATAGCCTAACCATACGAATCTGGTGGATAATTTACATTTAATATTACTAATTGGCGTTAACCTGGCAATAACTCCAGCCATAAGTAGTGTGCGCGCCCGTAAAAATCTATTGCTGGCCGTTTTGCGGCAAAATACGTCCGCGATCCATATTACCAATAATGCCAACAAATAGAGGACACTTTAACGGACACGAAAGTATCAACATTATGTACCTGGGGAGTAGAATAAGGGGGGTAAAATCTGCAAGAAGTTTTATCGGGCGCGCGGACAACTAATTGCTGATTTTACCCCCCTTATTCTACTCCTCGGGTAGGCTACATAATGTTGATACTGTCGTGTCCATTAAAGTGTCCTCTATCTGTTGGCATCATCGGTAATATGGATCGTGGACGTATTTTGCTGCAAAACGGCCAGCAATAGTTTTTATTGGGCACGCACAACTTATTGCTGGTTTTACCCCCCTTATTCTACTTCCCAGGTACATAATGTTGATACTGTCGTGTCCGTTAAAGTGTCCTCTATTTTTTGGCATTATTGGTAATATGGATCGCGGACGTATTTTGCCGCAAAACGGCCGGCAATAGATTTTAGCGGGAGCGCGCACAACTTATTGCTGATTTTACCCCCCTCATTCTACTTCCCAGGTACATAATGTTGATACTGTCGTGTTCGTTAAAGTGTCCTCTATCTGTTGGCATCATCGGTAATATGGATCGCGGACGTATTTTGCTGCGAAACGGCCAGCAATAGTTTTTATTGGGCGCGCACAACTTGTTGCTGGTTTTACCCCCCTTATTCTACTCCCCAGGTACATAAT